AAAGAAAAAAAGTTGCAAGTGAAAACTATATTGTTTACAAAGGGTTGAAGGGGGGAATGCTGGGCAGTGATACTGGCCAAATTTTATTGTTATATTGTATGCATGTACAAATATGTAACAACAAATCCCATCACTATGTACAACTGTAATGTATCAGTAAAAAATGTGTAGGGCTGGTGTTTTAGTTCCGCAGTAGAGCCCTAGCCTTATAGGTGTGAGGCACTAGGTTAAATCCTCAGCATCACATGAAAATAAATAAAATAAAGGTATTGGATCCATCTACCAAAAAAAATAAAAAAAAGTTTTTTATGTGGAAAAAAATATATATTGTTTAGATATTTAGAGATATGCACATATTTGGTAAAAGTAAGGGAATGATTCATATCAAATTCAGGAAAGTGGTTACCCCTGAGGGAGAGAAAAGGAGGAAGATTCAATTGAACAGCACTTCCCAAGAAGCTTTAAAAATACTACAAACTCCTTTTTTGTTAGGCTGGGTAATAGTACACATTTTCAACTGTAATTGTTTAAATTTTAGATTTGTATTATATATACTCTTATACATATGAATTATTTCACAATGTAAAAGGAAGATGTGGGCAGGGGAAATAGCTCAGTTGGTAGAGTGCTTGCCTTGCGTGCACACAGCCCTAGGTTCAATCCCCAGCACCAAGAAAAAAAAATCACCTAAAAGAAACATGTGAAGAAGAATGAACTGTAATCCAAACTCTTTCTCTTACTGGCTGTATAATTTTAAGCAAATCATTTAATCCCTGACAGTCTTTCTTATTTTATAGAAGAGGAAATCAACAACTCACATCTGTTTAATACTTTCCTTGGCATTTAAAGAACTATTTAAAGGGGCTAGGACTGTAGCTCAGTGGTAGAGCGCCCGCCTCACATGTGTGAAGCAGTGGGTTCGATTCTCAGCACCACATAAAAATAAGTAAAGATATTGTATGTTTATCTACAACTAAAAATTTTTTTTTCAAAAAAAAAGAACTATTTAAAGTTCCTAGACTGGGCTGGGGATGTGGCTCAAGTGGTAGTGCGCTCGCCTGGCATGCGTGAGGCCTGGGTTCGATCCTCAGCACCACATACAAAGATGTTGTGTCCGCCAAAAAATAAATAAATAAATAAATAAATAAATATTAAAAAATTCTCTCTTAAAAAAAAAGCTGAAGAATGAGAAAAAACATTCTTAAAAAAATAAAATAAAGTTCCTAGACTACAAATATGCAAATAGGTAGCACAAACATGCAAACTGCAGATAAATTGTTATATCATAATAATACAAAATAATGCCTCTTTAATAAATAATAAAAATACCATAATACTAAGAACTCATTGGTAGGGCATAGAACGCAATTCATCATTCTAGCCATTGCCTAGCTTTTTAATAATGGGAATTTACACTGTTTTAGTGCACATTATGCAACACTCTATGTTAAATGCTTTCTTGGATTATTTTCTCTAATCCTCAAGCATCCTTATGAGATTAGTTCTATTATGCCCACTTTAAAGATGAGTTCACTGTGCCCAAGGTCATACAGTAATAGTGATAGACAGACTTCAGAACCCACACTCAGTCACTGCATTCATTTTGCCTCACTTTTTTTCACATTAAATTCTCTCTCCCATGACACTTAAAGCTCCTTGACAATTGCTTTTTGTTCATCTTTATTTCCCCTGGAACTTAGCAGGCATCCAATAAATAAATAGTAAACAGATATTTCATATATGTGCAGTGTTTTCAAGACATAATTTCAGGACATGAACTGATTTATTCCTCTTGATACCTTTGGGAAATACAAAGCATTTTTTGTTTGTTTTGTTTTACCATATTTAAGTGTATAATTTGGGGCACTGAGTACATTCACAATGCTGAGCAACCATTACTACTAAATATGAAACGTTTCTAATGACTTTACTGAAGTCTCTGCTTTTAAGTGGTGGATTTGAAGCCAGTTTGACTCCTAAATTCATGAGCTCTTCATTCTACCAAGGCTTCTACCAATACCTTCACCTGCTCTCCCCTTTTCACCAGAGTGTCTGGAGGGTCAAATGAAGTAAAGACACTAAAACACTTTATTCACATTAATACTATACAGATGACTGCAGCTGTAGAGGGGAAAAATCCACCAACACATTTCTCTCAGGTGATTACTTTTCATTTTGAGCTTTCAAAAGCCAGGACTTTCAGAGTAACATCCCACCTCTAGACATGGCCTGCAGATGCACAAAAGCAAGGTCTGGACCCCATAGTAAAGTTATGAGGAGAAATGTTTGCATTAGTTAGATTACATTCTCATAGTATTACAGGTAACTGCTCAAACCTGATTTTTATTGTAATACAGAAAGCTTCCTCATTAAAAAAAAAATAAAAAAAAAAAAACACTTTCAATTCCAAGGGTGAGTGCAACCTTCCATCATTCTGCCCATTTTGAAAACTACCAAAAAAAAAAAAAAAAAAGATTCCAATTGGTATTTTTGTGTTCTCAACTGAAAGCCAAGAAAAGTGGTTTGCTTTCAAGCTGAACTCTGAGGCTTTAACAAAAATAAAAAGAATTATTTTGATCCCATTGGTGCCAATTTTATCCTCTTTACAATTCATTTTTCCTTAGTCTGAGCTCTAATCAACATCTACTTCATGTTTAACATATTATAGTTAATGCAATTAAGTCCAGAAAACAGTTTCCCTAAAGATGTTCCCTCCTTTCACACTCCTCTCTACTTTCCATTGTCAGCATTCTGCCATGAGAATAAGCATATCTCTTTAAGTCAAATTTCTGATGAATAGATGGAGATGTTGTTTCTGTAGTTAATACAATGCATACATCACCATCATCCCCTAAAAAAATAAAAATGATTCTCTATACTTCATTTATCAACATCTGATAGAATTCTGATCACCTGAATTCCTTTAGAAGAAAATTCAATCTATAGAAATAGTCCAATTATTTTAAGTCTTATCAAGCAATGTCAAAAGAGAATCAAATGAAAAACTCCATCAGTACCAAACCATCTATCTCACCAATGAATATTTATGACATTTCCATATTTCCTGTCTTCTGTTTACATAAAGCAGTGATGCCAAGACTCATCTCAGGATTATTAGCCTGCAATACAATGATGGGCCTAATTGCCTTGCAAACCAGGACACCAATAAATGGAGTCTTCAAGCAATCAATTTTAAGAGGAAAGAAAAAAAGACCTAAGCGTTTTCTGCATACATGCACGTTGCCTGCCTAGAAAATAAATTCAGCTTCATATTTTTTAGTCTTATTCATTAGTTCTCAAGCAAGGAATGCACCCTTAACCTCAAGCTCATCAAATCTATTTAAATTCCAGTACTAGTTTTAATGCACCAGGGGGAGGAGGGAAAGGAGAAGACAGAGCCCTCATACAAAAAGATATCTATCACAACCTCCTCACATCTCCTCCCACCTTTAGTTTCAAAGTGCCCCCCAACTTCTCTTTATGATACTCGAATAATAAAAGACATCCTCCCCTCCTTAACTTTACCTTTTTGGCTGACTTCCAAAAGATACTAATACAAATAAAACAAACAAAAAGATCAAACTAAAGCTTAAAATGTCCTTTAGAAGAGTCTTTAATGTACCTTCTCTGTTCCCTACAAAGTCCCCTTTAACAATCTTCCAATTACTGCCTCCCCTCAAAACGCAGCAACCAAAACTGTCCCTTTAAGTGTTCTAACCCCTAAACCTCAGGTGTCTCTTGGAGGACATCCCAATCCTTCCTCTCCAGAAAAATCCAACCCACTCCTTCCCAGTATTGCACACCTCTCCATCCTCTCTGTCCCATCCATACCAACAACCCCAGGTCTCTCACATCTTAAATTTCCTCTCTACCACCTCACCATCCACAAACACCTCTCTAGCTCATCACAGACATTCCTTCTCCAAAACTCCCTCTGCCACCTTGGCTAAGGGACATTTTCTTTAAGATACCATCCCCCAACCTTGCTCACCACCTGCCACTATTCTTTCAGTGAATCCAGTCTAGCAGTCGCATGTGCCCTCAGCCTTCTCCCTACACAGGGAGCCACCATGCCCCCTCCAGTGAGTCCAAGATCACCCTAAATCCTATTCCACTGTCCCCACCCCCAATTTCAATCCTTGTCCTCCCATTTTGGGCCTAACTTCCAATTTATCCCCCTCCTTCCAGGTCACCATAACACTCCATCCCCCATTGAAAGTCTCACCCATACCAGCACCTATTCCAACCTTCATCAACCATCCCAGGAAAATCTCAAATTCCACCCCCTCTGCTCTATCTTAACCATGCTAATTCCATAAGTCTCCGCAAATTCCACCATCCCCAGGTGACAAACGCCCACTTCAAGCTCAGGTCTCAACCCATGCCAAGTCCCTCACCCCCAGCTCCTACCATCCTACCACCTCCATCAAGCTTACTCCAGTCCCACCCCAAATTCCACCTTCCTGAATTAAAACACTCCCCAGGGCCCTATTCAACGGTTTACATCCCACTCTGTATAGAAATCATCCACCTATCTCCCACCCGGGCTCAGATCCCAAGCTGTCAACTGCTCCAGGCCAACCCCAAATCACCACCCTCATTCAGTCCCCTCCCCCATTATAAAAACCATCCCACTTCAGTCTCCTATCTCGCCCCAAGACCATCCCAAATCTTTCCCGACACCATCCCCCTCCCCAACACACACACACACACACACACACACACACACACAGAGGCTCCTGTCCCAGGTCCGACTATTCCCCCATTAAAAGCCCACCTCCTTCATCCCCCCTCCAACCTGCTTGGGTCCCACCCTCACCCCACCCCCAGCCCGCGCTCGGACAAGTCTCCCCCGCCTGCCCGCCGTTCCATCGCGACCTCAGCCCCCTCCCCCAAGCCGCGAGGGGGCTCCGCAGCCCCCACTCTCATTCTCCCCAGCGCCGCCAGCCCAGGCTCCAGAGCAGCGGGCCAGCGGGCCGGGGGGTGGGGGGTCTCCTCACCGGCTAGCCTCTGCAGGCGAAAACGGCTGCGGAGGCGACAGGAGGCGATGCCCTTGTCTTCTCCGGAGGCTACAGCGGCGACGCTCTCGCTCCCTCGCCCGTGTCCAGTAAGGTGGCGGATGGCGCGCAGGGACGGGAGCCTCCTCCTCAGCTACTCGGCTCTGAATCCTCTGCAGTAGCCGCGGAGGAGCCCGACGGGTGGGGGGAGGGGACGATCGGCTGCAGGCGAGAGAGGAGGAGGCGGAGGGAGGGGGCGGGGGACCGCTGAGAAGGGCGGGGGAGGAGGAGCCGCCGCGGCGTCGCGACACGTCCCACGGACTCAGTGCGCCGGGACCACAACTCCCGGCATGCCCTGTTCCAGCCCGCACAAGGCCTTTGCTTCCCGCCGCGCGCCCGCGCTGAGGGTTCCGTGCCCTCTCCCACCACGGACAATGGAACGAGCTGTCTGTACACTGGCGCCTTTTGTAGCCTTGAAGACCACATGTCGGGAAAGTCGGCGGTTCTGCACCCCGATCCCCAGGTGGCGTAGCTCGCAAAGTCTCCAATCTACATAGACACGGGTTGCCTCCCGCTGGACTACATCTCCCGGCGTGCCACACAGCCTCCCACTCTCCTCTTTCCGTACCTTTCTCAGACCCGGTACTACAGTTCCCAGGGAGTATGGTCCCTGCAAAGCCTAGGAGGTGCAGTTCTCGATTCTTCCTCCATGTTAAGAAAAAGAAGTGAAAGAGAGAAAAAAGGGAAGGAATATGCTGACCCACCGAGCATAGGCCTAGATGGGCTAGACCACCTGTGATTCTGTACTCTCCTTCTCGGTTGCCCCTGTCTCACGCCAGAACTAAAGAGGCAGCTAGCTTCCTCACTGGTATTTGCAAATTCGAGGACGATTCCACAACTTGAATTCAAATGTAAAAGGTCATTTAATTACATTTACAGCTCCATTACTTTGAAGAATTTACCTTGAAAAGGTAATGGAATAATTTAGAAAAGACAAGTTATTATTAGGTTGTTGATTATGGGGGAAAACGCAAATATTCGTCAATAGGCTCATTAAGTGGTGATATATGTATACATACAATGCATTACTTGGCAGCCATTTAAAATGATGAAGATCTATTAATATGAAAAGCTATTCACAACGTATTCTCAAAGGGAAAAATAATTACAAGACTCTATGTTTAGACAGGTCCAGTTATGTGATATTTAAGACAATATAAGCATAGAGAGATTACAGGAAAGAGGTTCCCCCCAAATGATTCTCTGGGGAGAATGGTGTCAGATTTCAAGTTATTTAAATTTTAATGTTGGGTAAATTGTTGAAAAGGAACATAT